ATTTGAGAAATTTACCACTAGTTAGATATTTCATGTTCCAATATATAATGCTAACCTTTCTGAAGTTGAACACCATCTGCTGCCCCATTACACTTACTGAAATCCACCAATATGGGGTACATTGACTACATTGGTGTGTTGTTGTTTTTAAATTAAACCATTGGCAGAAAATTTTCAAAATCTTTAAGTTTCGAGTTTCAAGGGTGCATGCCGATTAACATATTCTCACCTGCTTGTCACTGCAAAATTGCAGTTGAAATAAAGCCTGTCAAGGCTTTTCAGATTTGTATATTTTTTGTAGGACGAAAAGACGGCTCTTCATCACGCAGTAATAGGGGGACATGATAAGGTCGTGGCACATTTGTTAGAAAAAGGTGCACAAGTGGATGCCAGGGATAAGGTGAGGATAGATATGTATGTTGGCCCAATGTATAGACTTGCTCTATTGTCTTGTCATGCCACTGAATTTCATCAGACATAATGTAGATAGGACAATAGGATGGATATATGTATGTTTGTGGAGATATAGTAGATCATTACATCCGTGTCACCTGTATTTCATCCAACATGACCGATATATTCACATAATAATAGAACCGTATTAATACGGTCAAGAATTTAGGGCCATAATAAATTATTCGTAGTGAGGGGGTAATGGTGTTAAGACAGGCGTGGCCACATAGGTGTGTGAGATACTTACGTGGATGTGTCATATTAAATTCATGCACGCAATTGCAAAATGGTAAGAAATTATGCGTGAAGAGACCGGAGTAACACAAACAAAACCGTGTATTGGGGTTGGGGGATGAGGTTGACAATATATTTAAACTCTTTTCCATGCGGAAATTTAGCAACTAGTATATAATATTAGGAATAGTTCATAGTAAATTTGTCGCCACTAGCTGAAGTTTTAGATTGGTTCATAATGCCATTAAACTCTACTTTGGCGAATTTATTGTCATAACAGCCTTTTATAGGGCGGTGTAGGTAGGTTTCACTAAGCACTGTTGTGCAGCAGATTGTGGTTAATCCGCAGTTATGAGAGTGTGGAAATAATTTTAATTCAAAAAGAATTGAGAGATTTACTTGTTGAATTTTCATGCTCCTTTATTTGTTTGCGGTTCCTTTGATGAACACTAGCTGCTTCCTCATCGCACTTACTGAAATTCACCAATATTGGGTTGATTCACTACATTCGTGTGTTATTGTTTCTAAATCAAGCATTGGTAGAAAATTTGCAAAACGTTGAAGTTACGAGTATTTAGGGTGGAAATTGACACATTTTTACGTACTTGCTACTACAAAATCGTTGTTAAAATAAATTGTGGAAGGATTTTGTAGATGGAAATTTCTAATGTGAATTTTATACATTTATTAAACTTAACAAAATACAACTAGAGGTCCTCTGGCAGGAATCAAACCTGCAGCCCTGCTATTCCGGTGCAGTGCTTGAACCAACTGAACTACAGAGGCCAGTTGTCGAGTCTATAACCAGAAGTTCATGTATAGATGTATACAAGTGTGATGCCAATGTAAGCTGTATGTATAAATATCAGGATTTTGGGCGTCTAGGCTCGATATCACTAATTGCAGAATGTTTTAGTTATGTTGAGTGTAGTTGACTAGTTTATTTTCATAACTGATCTATAATGCCTATGGCCGGCATAACTGACTTATTGAAATTTGGAGTGTCATTGAGCAGTTAAATATCACTGTTGTCTTCCTTAAAGTAGAAAACGACTGACTAGAGAGTTCTTAGTGATCTCTCTTTCGTGCAAGAATTGCGTCAATGACTGCAAGTGCATAAGTAGCGGACACCAATAGTTGTTTTTTTTTGGGGGGGGGGGGGATATAAATTTGCAATATATGTAGCTTTCGCTAAGCACTGTCTTGCAGCAGATGTATGATGGTCAATCACAGTGAAAAAATAATGTTCAGTCAATCCAATATATTTGAGAAATTTACCACTAGTTAGATATTTCATGTTCCAATATATAAATGCTAACCTTTCTGAAGTTGACACCATCTGCTGCCCCATTACACTTACTGAAATCCACCAATATGGGGTACATTGACTACATTGGTGTGTTGTTGTTTTTAAATCAAACCATTGGCAGAAAATTTGGAAAATATTTAAGTTTCGAGTTTCAAGGGTGCATGCCGATTAACATATTCTGTCCTGTTTCTCACTGCAAAATTGCAGTTGAAATAAAGCCTGTCAAGGCTTTTCAGATTTGTATATTTTTTTGTAGGACGGAAAAACGCCTCTTCATTACGCAGCCATTCGGGGAGATCTGTTGTGTGTTAATGTCAATGTCGTGGCTAATTTGTTAGAAAATGGTGCACAAGTGGATGCCAGGGATAAGGTGAAGATAGATATATATCTTGGCCCCATGTATAGAGTTGCTCTATTGTCTGTCATTCCACTGAATTTCATCCAATATAATGTAGATATGTAGGACAATAGGATAGATATATCTATGTTTGTGGAGATATCGTAGATCATTTGTGTCACCCGTATTGCATGCAACATGACTGATGTATGCACATAATAGAACCGTATTAATACGGTCAAGAATTTAGGGCCATGAATAATTACTCGTATTAACGGAGTAATGGTGTTAGCACAGGCGTGGCCACATAGGTGTGTGAGATACTTACGTGGATGTGTCATATTAAATTCATGCACGCAATTGCAAAATGGTAAGAAATTATGCGTGAAGAGACCGGAGTAACACAAACAAAACCGTGTATTGGGGTTGGGGGATGAGGTTGACAATATATTTAAACTCTTTTCCATGCGGAAATTTAGCAACTAGTATATAATATTAGGAATAGTTCATAGTAAATTTGTCCCCACTAGCTGAAGTTTTAGATTGATTCATAATGCCATTAAACTCTACTTTGGCGAATTTATTGTCATAACAGCCTTTTATAGGGCGGTGTAGGTAGGTTTCACTAAGCACTGTTGTGCAGCAGATTGTGGTTAATCCGCAGTTATGAGAGTGTGGAAATAATTTTAATTCAAAAAGAATTGAGAGATTTACTTGTTGAATTTTCATGCTCCTTTATTTGTTTGCGGTTCCTTTGATGAACACTAGCTGCTTCCTCATCGCACTTACTGAAATTCACCAATATTGGGTTGATTCACTACATTCGTGTGTTATTGTTTCTAAATCAAGCCATTGGTAGAAAATTTGCAAAACGTTGAAGTTACGAGTATTTAGGGTGCAAATTGACACATTTTTACGTACTTGCTACTACAAAATCGTTGTTAAAATAAATTGTGGAAGGATTTTGTAGATGGAAATTTCTAATGTGAATTTTATACATTTATTAAACTTAACAAAATACAACTAGAGGTCCTCTGGCAGGAATCAAACCTGCAGCCCTGCTATTCCGGTGCAGTGCTTTAACCAACTGAACTACAGAGGCCAGTTGTCGAGTCTATAACCACAAGTTCATGTATAGATGTATACAAGTGTGATGCCAATGTAAGGTGTATGTATAAATATCAGGATTTTGGGCGTCTAGGCTCGATATCACTAATTGCAGAATGTTTTAGTTATGTTGAGTGTAGTTGACTAGTTTATTTTCATAACTGATCTATAATGCCTATGGCCGGCATAACTGACTTATTGAAATTTGGAGTGTCATTGAGCAGTTAAATATCGCTGTTGTCTTCCTTAAAGTAGAAAACGACTGACTAGAGAGTTCTTAGTGATTTCTCTTTCGTGCAAGAATTGCGTCAATGACTGCAAGTGCATAAGTAGCGGACACCAATAGTTTTTTTTTTGGGGGGGGGGGTATATAAATTTGCAATATATGTAGCTTTCGCTAAGCACTGTCTTGCAGCAGATGTATGATGGTCAATCACAGTGAAAAAATAATGTTCAGTCAATCCAATATATTTGAGAAATTTACCACTAGTTAGATATTTCATGTTCCAATATATGAATGCTAACCTTTCTGAAGTTGACACCATCTGCTGCCCCATTACACTTACTGAAATCCACCAATATGGGGTACATTGACTACATTGGTGTGTTGTTGTTTTTAAATCAAACCATTGGCAGAAAATTTGGAAAATATTTAAGTTTCGAGTTTCAAGGGTGCATGCCGATTAACATATTCTGTCCTGTTTCTCACTGCAAAATTGCAGTTGAAATAAAGCCTGTCAAGGCTTTTCAGATTTGTATATTTTTTTGTAGGACGGAAAAACGCCTCTTCATTACGCAGCCATTCGGGGAGATCTGTTGGGTGTTAATGTCAATGTCGTGGCTAATTTGTTAGAAAATGGTGCACAAGTGGATGCCAGGGATAAGGTGAAGATAGATATATATGTTGGCCCCATGTATAGAGTTGCTCTATTGTCTGTCATTCCACTGAATTTCATCCAATATAATGTAGATATGTAGGACAATAGGATAGATATATCTATGTTTGTGGAGATATCGTAGATCATTTGTGTCACCCGTATTGCATGCAACATGACTGATGTATGCACATAATAGAACCGTATTAATACGGTCAAGAATTTAGGGCCATGAATAATTACTCGTATTAACGGAGTAATGGTGTTAGCACAGGCGTGGCCACATAGGTGTGTGAGATACTTACGTGCATGTGTCATATTAAATTCATGCACGCAATTACAAAATGGTAAGAAATTATGCGTGAAGAGACCGGACTAACACAAACAAAACCGTGTATTGGGGTTGGGGGATGAGGTTGACAATATATTTGAACTTTTTTCCCAGGTGTAGATTTAATGCCATTAAACTCTACTTTGGCAAATTTATTGTCATAACAGCCTTTTATATGGCGGTGTATAGGTAGGTTTCACTAAGCACTGTTGTGCAGCAGATTTTGGTTAATCAGCAGTTATGAGAGTGTGGAAATAATTTTAATTCAGAAAGAATTGAGAGATTTACTTGTTGAATTTTTATGCTCCTTTATTTGTTTGCGGTTCCTTTGATGAACACTAGCTGCTTCCTCATCGCACTTACTGAAATTCACCAATATTGGGTTGATTCACTACATTCGTGTGTTATTGTTTCTAAATCAAGCCATTGGTAGAAAATTTGCAAAACGTTGAAGTTACGAGTATTTAGGGTGGAAATTGACACATTTTTACGTACTTGCTACTACAAAATCGTTGTTAAAATAAATTGTGGAAGGATTTTGTACATGGAAATTTCTAATGTGAATTTTATACATTTATTAAACTTAACAAAATACAACTAGAGGTCCTCTGGCAGGAATCAAACCTGCAGCCCTGCTATTCCGGTGCAGTGCTTTAACCAACTGAACTACAGAGGCCAGTTGTCGAGTCTATAACCACAAGTTCATGTATAGATGTATACAAGTGTGATGCCAATGTAAGGTGTATGTATAAATATCAGGATTTTGGGCGTCTAGGCTCGATATCACTAATTGCAGAATGTTTTAGTTATGTTGAGTGTAGTTGACTAGTTTATTTTCATAACTGATCTATAATGCCTATGGCCGGCATAACTGACTTATTGAAATTTGGAGTGTCATTGAGCAGTTAAATATCACTGTTGTCTTCCTTAAAGTAGAAAACGACTGACTAGAGAGTTCTTAGTGATCTCTCTTTCGTGCAAGAATTGCGTCAATGACTGCAAGTGCATAAGTAGCGGACACCAATAGTTTTTTTTTTTTGGGGGGGGGATATAAATTTGCAATATATGTAGCTTTCGCTAAGCACTGTCTTGCAGCAGATGTATGATGGTCAATCACAGTGAAAAAATAATGTTGAGTCAATCCAATATATTTGAGAAATTTACCACTAGTTAGATATTTCATGTTCCAATATATAAATGCTAACCTTTCTGAAGTTGACACCATCTGCTGCCCCATTACACTTACTGAAATCCACCAATATGGGGTACATTGACTACATTGGTGTGTTGTTGTTTTTAAATCAAACCATTGGCAGAAAATTTTCAAAATCTTTAAGTTTCGAGTTTCAAGGGTGCATGCCGATAAACATGTTCTGACCTGCTTCTCGCTGCGAAACTGCAGTTGAAATGAAGCCTGTCAAGGCTTTTCAGCTTTGTATATTTTTTTGTAGGAGGAAAAAACGCCTCTTCATTACGCAGCCATGGTGGAAGATGATAAGGTCGTGGCACATTTGTTAGAAAAAGGTGCACAAGTGGATGCCAGGGATAAGGTGAGGATAGATATGTATGTTGGCCCAATGTATAGACTTGCTCTATTGTCTTGTCATGCCACTGAATTTCGTCAGACATAATGTAGATAGGACAATAGGATGGATATGTGTATGTTTGTCGAGATATAGTAGATCATTACATCCGTGTCACCTGTATTTCATCCAACATGACCGATATATTCACATAATAATAGAACCGTATTAATACGGTCAAGAATTTAGGGCCATAATAAATTATTCGTAGTGAGGGGGTAATGCACTTACGTGCATGTGTCATATTAAATTCATGCACGCAATTACAAAATGGTAAGAAATTATGCGTGAAGAGACCGGAGTAACACAAACAAAACCGTGTATCGGGGTTGGGGGATGTGGTTGACAATATAGTTAAACTCTTTTTCCCATGTGTAGATTTAATGCCATTAAACTCTACTTTGGCAAATTTATTGTCATAACAGCCTTTTATAGGGCGGTGTAGGTAGGTTTCACTAAGCACTGTTGTGCAGCAGATTGTGGTTAATCAGCAGTTATGAGAGTGTGGAAATAATTTTAATTCAAAAAGAATTGAGAAATTTACTTGTTGAATTTTCATGCTCCTTTATTTGTTTGCGGTTCCTTTGATGAACACTAGCTGCTTCCTCATCGCACTTACTGAAATTCACCAATATTGGGTTGATTCACTACATTCGTGTGTTATTGTTTCTAAATCAAGCCATTGGTAGAAAATTTGCAAAACGTTGAAGTTACGAGTATTTAGGGTGGAAATTGACACATTTTTACGTACTTGCTACTACAAAATCGTTGTTAAAATAAATTGTGGAAGGATTTTGTAGATGGAAATTTCTAGTGTGAATTTTATACATTTATTAAACTTAACAAAATACAACTAGAGGTCCTCTGGCAGGAATCAAACCTGCAGCCCTGCTATTCCGGTGCAGTGCTTTAACCAACTGAACTACAGAGGCCAGTTGTCGAGTCTAACCACAAGTTCATGTATAGATGTATACAAGTGTGATGCCAATGTAAGGTGTATGTATAAATATCAGGATTTTGGGCGTCTGCGCTCGATATGGCTAATTGCAGAAGGTTTTAGTTATGTTGAGTGTAGTTTGACTAGTTTATTTTCATAACTGATATATAATGCCTATGGCCGGCATAACTGACTTCTTGAAATTTGCAGTTTCATTGAGCAGTTAAATATTACTGTTGTCTTTTTGAAAGTAGAACACGCCCGACTAGAGAGTTCTTCGTGATCTCTCTTTCGTGCAATATTTGGAAGAAGGCTTCTTTGATGGCCTCAAGTTGTGCCTTCTTTCTTGCTTTCGCTTCCTTACTGAGCAGTGGACACCAAACTTGTGGGTGTGGGAGGGGGGGTGGGTTATAAATGGACAGTATATATGGACAGTAGTTTGTTTCGCTAAACACTGTCGTGCGGCAGACGCATGGTGTCGAAATAATGTTAATTCAATTGAATATAATTGAGAAATTTAGCACTAGTTCAATATTTCATGCTTCAATATGATATAAATGTTAACCTTTTTGAAATTGAACACCGTCTGCTGCCCCAGTACACTTACTGAAATCCAGCAATATGGGGTACATTAACTACATTGGTGGTGTTGTTGTTTCTAAATCTAAATATTGGCAGAAAATTTGCAAAATATTTAAGTTCGAGTTTCAAGGGTGCATACCAATTAACATGTTCGGACCTGCTTATCACTGAAAAATTGCAGTTGAAATAATGCCTGTCAATGCTTTTCAGATTGGTATATATTTTTTTTGTAGGACGAAAAGACGGCTCTTCATTACGCAGCCATGAAGGGACATGCTGTGGTCGTGGTACATTTGTTACAAAAAGGTGCACAAGTGGATGCCAAGGATAAGGTGAGGATAGATATGTATGTTGGCCCCTTGTTTTGACTTGGTCTATTGTGTGTCATCCCACTGAATTTCACCCAACATAATGTAGATAGGACGATAGGACGATCATTACATTTCACCCAACATAATGTAGATAGGACGATCATTACATCTGTGTCACCTGTATTGCACCCAACATGACTGATGTATGTACATACAGAACCCTATTAATACGGTCTAGAATTTAGGGCCATAAAAATGTACTCGTAGTAACGGGGTAATGGTGTTAACACAGTTACGCAGGCGTGACCATATCAAGGTGTGTGGGATATTTGGATGCAATGCGTCATATTAACTTCATGAACGCCATTGCAAAACGGTAAAAAACTGTGCCGTAGAAAATTAGCAAATATTGAAGGTGTACGAGAATTAAGGGTTCCATTAACATGTTCTGGCCTACCTACTTGTTACTACAATATCGCAGATAAAATAAAGCTTATCAAGCTTTCAAAGTTGTAAAATTTTGTTTTAGGACGATAAAGCGGCACTTGAATTGGCAACATACGCAATGCGTGGTGATATTGTGGAATTATTACAAGATGCCATTGATAGGGTGAGGATAGATATGTGTGTTGGCCCCATGTATAGACTTGGTTTATGTGTGTCATCCCAATGAATTTCGCCCAACGTTATGTAGATAGGACAATAGGATATATATATGTATATATGTTTGTGCAGATATAGTAGTTCATTACATCTGTGTCACCTGTATTGCATCAACATGATTGATGTACGCAGCCTAGTCCCAGGCTCTCTCTCTATTTGCTGCTTTGATATATTTAAATAAATTTTAAATGTTTTATGCCTGAGTGTGCTGTGCGGAACGCTTCAGCGAGAGAGCCTAGCAGATTTCGGTAAAATAGTCCCTGATTTCAAAAAAGTGGTCCCTGGCCTGGTTACCAAGCATGCCGCATTTGTAAATAGAAAATGTTATGGAAATTCCCTTTGCGTTTATAATTAAGTCGTTTTTTTGCTCTAATGCTGTCCTAACAATGAAATAGGCTACGTTTCGCTACCATACGGTCAGAATGGAATAACGGGCTAAATGTGAGTCGTGTTTACTAAAATATAAAGCCATATTAAATGCTATCTAGAAGCTTGAAAATTATGTCAAGTCTCAGACCAAAAATGTTTTGACAACACAGTCATGTCAGACAAATATTTCCAATCTCCTCAGCTACTTAAACCTGTCAAGTAGAAAGCGCGTGGGTTATGTATTACAAGGTTATTTGTATATATAAATTTTCCGCCATTAAAAAGACTGAAATCTGCTAGGCGTTCTGAAGGGTTTTCACTAGTTTCCATTGTGTGTGGGATATTTGGATGCATGCGTCATACAAACCATTGGTAGAACATTTTCCAAATATTTAAGTTTCGAGTTCCAAGGAGTAGTGTTCTAACTAAGTTTGCCCCCACTAGCTGAAGTTTTAGATTGATTCATAACTCCATTGAACTCTACTTTGACTATACTTTATTATCATAACTGACTTATAATTCCTATGGCCGGCTTGACTGACTTATTGAAATTTCTAGCTAACGTCATTGAGCAGTTAAACATTTCGTTGAAAGTACAACACAAGAGTTACAGGTGTATGTACCACAGAATACCAGTCTTATTTATTTCTTATATAAAATTTGAAGGAAATATGCTATAAACTTTATTTTTGGGATTATATGTTAGTTTGTCTTAATTGACATATAAAAACAAAAAATGTATATTTTCTTAAAAATTCTTAAAAATAATCAGGATTAACAAAAAGTAACATTCTATATTTTTGGTACTTTTTTTTCGCATAATGCCTATAAAATCCGAATGTTTAAAAATAAGTTCGCCAACCAGCATAATTTATGTTGATCAATACTTTTTCTATGATGCGACATTATTACTACACTGGAATCACACAGTGTAATAAATTTTACCATTGAAAAACCTGGTATTCTTTGGTTATACCACTCATGGTATTCTGTACTGATTTAGTGTTTAACTTTCACTAAATTAAGTTAGCAATATCCCACAGTATTATCATACAAGATGACACACCAAATCCTGGTACAATTTGATAAACCGTTGCTTATCTCTGAACTGGTATTCTGTGGTATATTGGATTTTTTCCCACAGAATATTCATTTAAAAAAAATAATTAAGTCTATGAAATCTTGCCCCAAAACCCCCAGGAAGAAAAAATATATCGATAGACTATACTAAAAAATATCAAGGAACCATATTATATACATTGCATTAGACAAAAGATATAGAAAAAGTAAATTTTTGCGGTATTCTGTGGTACATACACCTGTACGACAATGGTTGCAAGTGTAAAAGTCAACGTTCTGCCGAAAGTCGTGGGTTTTCTCCTGTTACTCTTACAGGGAAAGTTGGCAGGGTGGGTTAAACACATACATAGGTCAGGGGGCAGATAATGAGGTATGGACTAATAGCGGCTGCTAAAGCGCCATTTGTAAGCTCACAGTCTACCTTGGTCTGCTTCACGTCAGTTCCAGTTCTGTCTATTTATCTATTCACAATCACAATGAAAAACCCTGATATAGGAAGTGTGCTGTGCAATATCTGTATCTGTATAATAATATTGAAGTAAATATCACAGAAAACAAAGCAAAAGGTGACAATTCAACAATGTGCTTTTATTATATTTTTCTATTATATCTCTACATAAGGTGAATCCGTTGGGTTTACGTGTCGGACAGGATACACTTCAATACTGACAACAGAAAGAATCTTCGGTTCGGAAGATTTTTACAGCGAACTGAGCAAAGCGTGCTTTCATTGCCAAGCCTTGATGTCCACAGAAATCTGATCCAACGTCTCGCTTGACTAATGTAACCCAACACTGAAAGGATTTCTTGTTGCAAATTTATATTTTATCGCCCGAAACTATAACACACAAGTTGTAATTTTCCAAGCACAACAAGTACACTCCTCTACTACACCTTCCTAAGTATAATTTCAATTTAGCACCCAGAATCTGGGAGCCACGTGACCAGCTATTGCCAAGGGTCTTTCCTCCTAAAGAGGGAAGAGCCTGGGAACGAGGTTGATATGCCTTCTCGATTCGGTGAAATACATTTGCCGTTTTTCATCATTTACAAGTTGACTTGTTAACTATGTCTATGCAGTCAAATGTAAACCATATCTATAAAGTTTTCTATTATATGTGAATTCTCACATATGGCCAATATATGATGCAGACAAAAAGAATGAATTTGATCCTTTCTTGCAGCCATTCAAGTATTCAAATTGAATAGAATATCCGGTATCCGGCCGGATAGTATAGGAATCAATATCAGGTGCACCCCTATAGTTTAATACGCCTGTAATAAACAGCTTTCAGGGCACAACGTACATTTAGGCTACGTTTACACTTATACCGGCTAGCTTTCCATAGCAACGTGAAAAAACGCCTACCAGGACCTTTTAGGAACTCTATTTTTACAGGAATTATTGCAATGGGGAGATGTTGTTTCGCCCAGTTTCTGAAAGTTGTACATTTCGTATCGGATAGATGCTTTTTCACGCCGCTACGGAAAACTATCCGGTATAGTGTAAATGTAGCCTCATTTAACCTAAAAAGGTATACCGAAAATTTCGCTGCAGTATCAAAGGTTTTGTACATATTTGCAGGTTCTCACTGCTATTGTATATGATAAAGCCAACAAATTTGCCAAAGGTCGACTTATATTTGTATATTTAATTGCAGGAGTCATACGAAAGCAGGCCGCACACTTCTCAGACGCCAGAGACTGGAATCGGTGAGTTACTAGCCTGCATGGCAGGCGGTACGTAGGAAATACCGCCTGCCGCAAAACTGGGTGTAAATGAACTACCGCCCCTGAAGCATCAACGCTATTTATAGATGCATTAATTATGTAAATATTCAAAATTAGCCACTCCCAAGTAGGCTCAGATTCCAGCAACCTCGTCCCCAGGCTCTTTGCTCTTGGGAAGCAAAGACCCTGGTCGGAGCTGGTCACGTGACCCATTGAAAATTGATAGCCCAAGAGGGGGGTGGAAAAGTCTCATATTACATGTTTCCACTTCCGCATTTCTTATTCTATGCTTCGATTGCAAGGAGTGGCCGTTCTGTACAATCATTAATTCATCTTCAAAAATCATATATACCTAAAAATACTTGCTAAATTGGTTTCTGTTTGCTTTTTTAATTTAAAAATTATACAAACATGCTAAAATGCAGATTCTTATGGCAACAGAAAATTCAGGAAATCAAGCAACGAGAACATATGACTGTACGCTTTGAAATATTTTTATTTTCTCGGGGTTCGCCGGTTCGGGCGTAGTTTTATTTCACGCATACGTTTCTGTTGTGGCTCTGATATTTATAATATGCTTATAATATGCCAATGAATTCTTCTGATATGGACATGGTATAAATTTTGTTAAACAGATGTCTCGAAAGCGACTGTTTATAGGTCGTAGGATTAGCGCCTTGCCGGTCTTAAACGTGACACATTTGGACACAAGCCAAAGACACATTGTGAATGTCCATTCTATTGATTCTAAAACTGTTTATAGACATATTGCTCTAGATTTTTTTTAAATGGCTATCATCGTTTATATTAAACACCAGGAAGACAAAATATAACGTACAAAATTGTTTGAAATCGACAGTGCACAGCTGACATACGACAATTCATAACTGCAAGAATTTCCTTTTTTGTCTGCACGAGTACCTGTTTGTTGAAGCCAAAATATTGCACAGCATCTCCTATAAATTCTATCGCCATTTACCCTCTCCCCTTAAATGCAAAGGAATGACAGCCGAAAAGGTTTAGCAAAGTATTTTTTATTATATCTGGTATAACGTGTCCTACGTTTTATCAGGGACATACATAATTCATAAACTGTATATGCACACGAAGTCTCGCTTATATTAATGAGTTTTACTGTAGCAAACCTTTTAAAGTTTCCATTGATAGATAGGTTGTTTGCCTCCAGTATTGTTTGGTAAAACAGACTAAACTTCTAAAATGTCGATTCCAGTATACGATAAAGATTAAAGTTGATTTAAATATTGATAACTCACAGCGGCATTAATCCATTATACAAGTCTAAAGAAGCTGGATTATTCTTCAATAAAGCCCTCAATGGCCAATGTCAATGAAAGGTCTAATATTATACATGTTGCAAATTACTGTATATACAAAATATGAAATAATTTATATAAAGTACAATACCAGTGTCTGGTGCATATATCGTCCTAGATATTCAAGTTGTACCGCACGCACGGAAACGCATGTACGGAGTCTTGGCGTCTGTGTGATAACAGATAGCTAGCTACACTTCGACATTATCTTTCTTGATCGTTGAGTTTAGCAATGTAAATGAAATGAATTTTATAGCCAGTCCATAACGGGTTTTAATCCTGTGCTTTTACAGTCAGAATAGCACTATTGTTTACACATGGTGGCGATGTTTGGGAAATCAAAGACAAAGGATCCCGTTATAAAATAAATCTTTTGTTTTGAATATCGGACAGGATACACTTCAACTATAAAGAACCATATCGTTCGTTTAATACCGTTTGATCGATCAGTCTGTGTGCTAAACTTCGCAGGCCAGGCGCGTGTGGAGTGTTTTCCTTGCAAGTGAAATATGATCCAGCTTCTCGCTTGAAATGTAACGCAACACTTATTATTGATGACATTCAGTATAGCAGGAAGTCTTGTCATGATCGGTACGAATTTAGAACAGTTCCTTTCACAATCTCTTGTTGCCAATTACATTTTTATCACCCGAAATTATAACACATAAAGTTGCAATTTTCCAAACGCAACAAACAGACTACTCTCCTACCCCTCCCTGAGATCAAATTCAATTTACCCCCAAAATCTGGGGGTTCACGTGACCAGCTCCGACCAGGGTCTTTGCTTCCCAAGAGCAAAGAGCCTGGGAACGAGGTTGTCTCAATCCCCTTAAAATCGTTTGGCATTAGACAGAGTAAAAAAATAAAGACAGTCTTTAGGGCTCATCAGGACAGGGCACATGCATTGTCACATGTAGGTGGCCATCCTCTATGGCTCAACTCTCTCTGGTCTTGTGCTTATCTATATATACTAATTCTGCACTGTGATGGGCAAGTATATAAAATTTCACACCATATATATTCGTTTAAAATATATGAACCTCTGTATATGAGCATGTAAACAAGTAAACAACCACAATTTTTAGTATAAATTAAAAACTGGCAAACCACAAAGGCCAGTGCTGACACAAACTGAACATAATGTTAACAATATTTTATGTCCCCTATTGAAATATTTGCAGCATATATTAAGATGATGAGTTTTTGACATAATATGAAGGTCTAGTGACTCTAGCCGTCTAGAAAGTTATAAAAAAAGTTTCGTGAATCTTACCTGAAAGAATTAATCTTTCTTTGTAGTGAAATGCTGCATCCACAAGCGAAGCAAACCTGCACCCTCGCTCCGCGTTGTAAAACAAGTAATGTTCGAGGGAAATATTAAGATTTTTGCTCAAAAACAACAGAAAACTTGAAATATCTTATTGATATAATAATATATCTATGCAAAAACCAGGGGGGTTAAGGACATCTTCGAAAGCTTAGGATCGCGGTTGGTCAGTGGCAATTACCATGAAAATAAAGTAAGTGTTGTCATGGAAATGGCGTAATAGCCGCCATGTTTTCGGCTTCACTTGATGATGCCGAGCAGGTCCTCCAGTAATATAGTATAGCTCAGTGAGCCTGGTTCACATTGATCGGCGATGTTCTACGATCCATTTTCTGTGAGCAACGAAGAAGAAAATGCACAAAACATTTTATGCATCAATGACCACCGACAATGGGCATCGCCGATGTTTACGATCAATGTGAACCAGGCTTTAATAATAATCACAGGCTTAGTGCTAGGGCACCTGTAGAAAACGTTATGCAAGTAAAGTACACCCCTGGGATTGCCAAAACAAAAGTGAGAACTTCAAGGTGCTCTAAAACCACTGGCTAAAACATTAAAAATTGGTATACCCAACTTGCTGTTCGCGCTTGGAAAGACTGTATAAAACTAGCACAAAATCGGTATGTTTGACCATTTGCCACCGAAAAGGAAGGAATATGCTGAAATGTTTTGCCTCACGGTCATCCAAGTTAACCAGTTTCGCAGCCGATCCCAACCTCGTGAAAGAAAAAGCTTCGGAAAAAGCTGGCGGAAAGAATTTAACGAAACGCCCATATATAGCTTACATAGATGAACCAATTTGACTTGTCATGCATGTATGTATGTCGTCGAGCTTGATGTGAATCGTACTCAACCAGCAACCGCCTCAAGCTTGTACTTGGGATCAACTGCCTGGTTTGTCATCGCTGCAGAATTTGTCCTTATCCTCGCCAGTTTAAGCTAAGTTTAAGCTTACAGGCTAGCTTTCTTCGACGTTACGTAAAATGTGTTACCAAGCATGTTACATGTGGCCTTACTATATACGAATAGACCACTGTAAATTTTTCAGGTAGATAAATTGATAATTCTCTATATTTGCTCATTGTTCAGAACGGCCATGACATGCATGTATTTTTAGTCATTAATACTGCCACAGAGAAGTGATACAGTTAATACTGTGATATAGCTACAACCCTCGACCTGTTTAACTTTAAAAGTCAAACCGTTATAATCAGTAAAACGTTTTGATCCAGGATTCTCAATAATTTCATAATTAATTATCGTTTCAGTTGGAGAAATAAACAGATGCCTATTAACTAAGGCTGAATTTAACCTGCGAAGAAAAAGCACGGAGGGTAAGGATAACTAATTAATTATTTAAAGAGCATGTTCTCATTCGTTTGTGTACTCAACAGAGAACTTAGATAGAGCCACTTAAATAGCTATTTATATATAGCTACAACCCTGGACCTGTTTGAAAGTTAAACCGCTATGATTAGAAAAAACATTCTGATCTGGGATTTTCAATAATTTCATTAACAATTAATGTTGCAGTTGGAGAACGTATTAACAGATGCCTACACAACGCAAATAATACTAGCGTACGAAGAGTATGGAAGAAGGGTAAGAATAACTAATTCATTATTTTAAAGCATTATGTTCTCATTCGTTTGTGTACTGAGAACTTAGATCGAGCCACTTGAAGTACAGTACGTGATTAAATAGCTACCTATATATGGCTACAACCCTGGACCTGTTTAAAAGTTAAACCGCTAGTTAATACTGAAAACTGTTTTCCAAGCATGTATAGTTTTCAAATCGAATTGGGATTGTTATAATGCTCTACGAAACCTAGCTCCGACAGATTAATTTACGATTTACGAATTTATCAACAATTAGGCCTGGGCATCTTTTTTACCATGCTCCCAACAAATTGAAAGTAAGGGATAATTGGGAGGCAACAATGTGCAACATTGCACAATCTGTGTGTGTGTGCATGATTTTACCAAATAGCTAGTACACTTTTGGGCCACTTAGGGCCTGTTCTTATGGGCAAAAGTTATCCCGGTTAACAAGAGAATTTTCGGCTAGCCAAATACTTTTGTTCTGTTCATATGGAGAAACGTTATCCCGCTTACCGGGTAAAGTTTTCGGCTGTGACGTAGCAATGAACATCAATTGAATTGAAAAGTTGCTGACACGAGATCTCTGTACACGGGAAAACGTTTTGTCTCATATGAACGCAGTGTAACTTTTCATATTATTTTCATACCAAGGCGAGATCTCGCTTTTAAACCTGTCGAAATGTTTTCTTGCTAACCGGGATAACTTCTGCCCATATGAACAGGCCCTAAGTAACAATATACTTTTAAAAATGACAAAAAATTTTCAAATGCATGTTGGCAAATGACAATTGACTTTCAGCAGTTGATAACATATTAAACAATAAAACTAGTCTTGTTTTTTTAGTGTAATAGCAGCAAATATTTAATTACATTTATAATTATAATTATTATCTTGTGTTTCGCGCATGCAGCTTCCCGTGTGGGCGGCCTTCTCGGTCACTTCAGGCAGTATTTAGTATAGCCTACATGGCAGGCGGTCTAAAATGCCGCCTGCTGGGTTTGGCAGTGTAATTTGATAACCGCCCACTTTTTTTGTCGGGTCCCGAATTAGCCAATCAGCAAACACTAAATATATTAATAATCGAACTGTCAAACTATGTTATTGTTTGGTCGCAAAATTGCAAATGTATAAAAATATGTCGAAAGAAACGCCATTGAAAGTTTCAATCCGGACTGAATAAGGCGAATAACGACAAGAGGTAGAAAAGCAAGCGCGGAAAATGTAAATGACTTGTCGTTTGTTTAAGTGTGCTTTGAAACTAAAATACGGGGCAATATGCCAATAGAGAAAATATCTTATATTCTTATATATTGTCGTAGAAATGATTTATTTAAGGCAAGCAAAAGAAACGTTACGACAGTGGTAAAACCTTGGCCGAAATAAGCCGAATTGCTGGTTCAGTTCATTTAGGAATCGAAGTTAATTCTACCTCTGAACTATCCGATCAAGTTTGTAAACCGTGTGAGCGAAATATCCAAAATGCAAGCGAACTGATTGCCATTATAATCGAACAAGACATAAACGCGTTGCCTGTGTACGTTCGAACAAATAGACAGTTGTATATTAAAAACCTCAGTTGCCAATATGAACTGTCTTGTCTCCCTAACAAAGCTGTGTGGTAACGAAAGCCTTAAAAAAGGTCAGAAATTAAGTGAAGCCGCTAATAGGCATAGGCGTAATAGTCGTGTTATAAAACCCTTTGCAAGAAAGACTATACGGCTGTCTGTATCTATTCTCGTTATATTTTCTCGCGCCAACAAGAACAATGTAAAAATTAAGGTTTTTTAGAAATGCTAAAACATTCTTTCCAAGGAGTAAATCTTTAACTGCATGCTATCTCGTGCTCGCGTTTGACAATCAGTTTGCGTTTCGACTTTCGAGAAGCGTTCAGTTTTACAATGCCTATTAATTAAAGTGAACGCATACATCATTAAATTGTCAAACGTATGTTTACATATTAAAGTGTATTCACTTTTGAGTGACAGTGGCTCAGACTCACAGCCAATCATCAATTCCTGGATGGGGAATTCTATTACACTGCCAAACCCTGCAGGCAGGATTTCCCAGGCTTGCCCAATTTTAGGAACTGCCTGCCATGCAGGCTATATTTAGTAGGACCCAAATCCGGTACTGAATTTAATTAAGGGAGAATTTAAATAATTTAATTACTTTATGTTTGTGTTTGGTCGGGTATATATTTGGGACAGTAAAGCATTTGTTAATTAAAGAAAACGTAACATGTAATTGTGTGGATCTTCAAGGCTGGGCTATTGGCATTGAAATTCAGCTACTATAACAAAATCTGTTTGCTGTGCAATTGATCGAGCAAGCTGCTATACACTATATCTGTAAACTTATATAAAAAAATTATCAAGGAAAACTTGCTTGTCTGTATATGAAGCTTCACTGTATGAATTTTACTTCTGACTTCTATCTGTTTGTAAGTGTATTTCCACTGTTAAGATCTGTTAATCTGAGCACATGTTTGTCTTGGAGTATTTTGCTGTATATGATGATGAAAAATAGTGTTCTGCATACTTATTTATTTCTATTTATTTGTATAGGTACTGGTATTACTATTTTTTGGATAATCACCAGAGAAGAAAACTAAATATAGTGAACAAGATGAAAGAAATGTACATGGAACCACAAGTGAGTATTCTAGCTATGTGAGCACTGAGTAATTTTTTTTTTGTTAGGGACCAGTCATTAATTACAGGGGAGGGGGGCTGGTGGAAAAGCAGGGGGTCAGATATTTTTGTGCATGAAAAAAGGGGGGAGCCAAAATTTTTGGGCAATATAAATACTTGCCCTGCATTACCGGACCTTGTTGTACCATAAAACCTACAGATAAAAAATAGAGAGCAGTAAGTATAATTGGGTTGTTAAGTATAATTGTGTTATCCTCAAGGGGGGCCAACAAAATTTTCATTTCCACCAAACCCCCCTCTCCCCTCCTTTATAATTAAATTAATGACCGGTCCCTTAATCAAGTTTGGTAGTGCAGTTGGCAAATGAACCAGAACAACGCCACTTGCCAGATGTCACCTTCATGCATGCCATTGATCATCAGCAGTGGGTGGAACAGGTGATGGTGCCCCCCGCAAGTTTGGCAGAGTGCAGATTTGTTCAGATTTGATAAAATATGGGGTTGGAAAATGTGTAATTCTAAATTCATCGGTGCAGTGCTAAAACCACAGTAAGTTGTTGACTTGCCAAGCAAACGACAACATATAACATTAAAATATTTTTGTCATCTTGTGGATGCTTCATTATTATTCATTGAGAATTAAAATATTAAGTCCCCCCCCCCCACACTATATTCTTCACAAAACACTTGACATAAATATCACATGTGGAATGGCTCTAGCACTTCTGCCAATTAAGTCATTTGTTATTGTCTTTGCTGATGATGATTATTTTATATAGACAGAGGATGCTATTAATAAGTGAAGAAGAAAAGGAATATTTAAACCAAACCAATTGAAGTTCATACTTGGCAAAGTTTAACCAGGAGATCAAGAAGGATGTAGAGGTTTGTGCAAGTTTGTTTTCTTTTTGTATTCTTGATTGCTATATACAGTTGGACTTTGAGCACGTCGTAACCTTATAAATGCTGATGCGGTTAATTGTGAAAGTATTTTTCTAAGTATTTTTCTAATCTTCTGCACACATACTATATCTTTTACGACATTCAATTTATCACTTTGTTTAATGTGCTAATTCTTGTAAGTCTGAAGAAGCAGTAAAGCAACTTGTCGGGTGCAGGTTTTATCTCGATTATATATATATATATAAATATATATTATAAAGATCAGGATCATCAATTTTCTTCGAGTTTCGATCAGTGCATAAAGAACACAACCAATGTTGAGCAACATGCTATTCGTACTCCCCCCCGTCATTTCTGTTTTGGTTAGCAAGCTAGGTATTTTATCTGCTTATTGCTTGTTAAGGACTAACTGCAAATTATTCTTGGTTACCTGCAAGAAAATTAAATATATACAGACATGGAATGACCACAAATCCCTCTGGTTGCTACAGCTGCAGTTAAAAAGTACGCCTGGATGAACATACCTTGGTGCACAACAGTCCTCTTCTTCCTGCAAATTAGAGTGTATTAAGAAGCATAATGCTGCAACACATGGTTGCACCGTGTGGGTGCATAATTTCCAACACCCTGCTCGGCTGCTCTTATTTTGCTGACTAATTGACCGCCTGGACGTACTGGCTTAAGATTGTATGCGGGTCACCTCTTGTTGTACTTCTTTTAAGCGAAATATTAGCTAGGAAGCATATAATGGTTGCACATTTTTGTACACTTTTAAACCCCAACTCTATTTCTGCCACTAGACCGGTTGGTGAGGCATCCACTTGGACAAACTGGTCTTTGTTGATAAAGGCCCTCTTCTTCTAGGATTAGGGTTAAGATTTAAGGGAGCCCACTAAAATTTATATTGGGTTACTGTAGCATTTTAATGCTTGGCTGATTTATGGTTGTTTGGTTGAGCTAGTAGTATATATTGTCTTCTATGTTACAATTAATTAATATAAAATTATAATACTGTAAAATTAAATATTATGTAAGCATGCATATAGAAACACAAAAAGCATTATCGTTTCATATATAGTTACCAAACTCGACACTTTGGTGGCATGTTCTTTTGTCAACATCAGTAGTAAGTTCTTCATCACCATGGCCATAACCGATGAGGCCAATCGGTTTCCTCTTGTTGAAGCTCCTTATTACAGATAGGTGGTGTGATGGTGTCCAGAATCACCATATAATACATGTAAGGCATGTCTGCTTTGTTGATGGAAGGTCATTATGACTGACAACATTAGGCACTGGTAGAATTACAACCATATCCATATTCAAGCTTAGTCCACCTTGTTGCTGGGGTAGCTGCAGGGTTTCACAGGAATATTATCTGCCTCTCATCAGGAGCATACACATAGTTACTTTAAAAGAAGTAAAGCATGTTGAGCAGGATCATACGCAACACATGATTGCGCATTGTTGTGCATTTGCATCTTCCCTGCCTCACATCTTCCATTTGTTAATGGGTGGTCAAAAGACCGACAGGGCTCACTGGGCAATAAATCTTCTTCTAGATCTTTTTCTAGATCTTTTTCTAAATTAAACGATAATGCAACAAATGATACTAAAAAGTCTCGTCCTGCACTTGAGACAATTGACTTCTGTTAACTAAGCATGGGAATAAAATTAAAATCTTCAAAAGTAGTTACTGTAACATTTTAAGAGAGTTTTTGTTTAAGAAATTAAATATTTAAATTACAGTGGAACTTTAATAAAATGTACCTGATACTCTTAGCACCCAATGGCCATCCAAGTAAATTAGGATCATTGGATCACTTGGATCCCGGAGACCATATGCTGTAACCAATAGAAAACATAAATTTTAGCTGATAAAGATATTACACTCGGTCCCTCATTGATGAAGTATAAACCAATACCTTTTGACAAAGGAATGGGGCGAGCTTGATGCAAATTGTCATTTGGAAGCATTATTGGTGCATTCTGCATGCCGTTTTGGGCTGTCTATGGAGCCATGCATTAATCTAGCTAAACATCAAAAACCTGGACATATCTGCCTGCAGCATCGCGAATACGCCGGAAACGATAAAAATGTGCATGACGCACACGGTGTCTCTGACGGACAGGGCCTCCGCCATCAGCACAACCACCATCGTGCTGACCACCACCACCACCCACCACCCACCACCACCACCATTTACCTTTGTTGGTGAAGACTACAGTGCGCAACACATGATTGCGCATTGTTGTGCATTTTCATCTTGCCTGCTTCACATCTTCATTTGTTGGGCGGTCAAAAACCCGACAGGGCTCACTGGCATTTCCCGTTATAAATCTTCTAGGTCGTCTTCTAAATTAAATGATAATGCTACAAATAAGACTAAAAAAGCTCGACTTTAATTTCTTCCACTTGATCATGGTGTCCAGAATCACCATATAATACATGTTAAGGCATGTCTGCTTTGTTGATGGAAGGTCATTATGACTGACAACATTAGGCACTGGTAGAATTACAACCATATCCATATTCAAGCTTAGTCCACCTTGTTGCTGTGGGGAGGGGGGGGGGGGGGGGGGTTAGCTGCAGGGTTTCACAGGAATATTATCTGCCTCTCATCAGGAGCATACACATAGTTACTTTAAAAGAAGTATTGTTACTTGTCAAAAGCATGTTGAGTAGGATCATACGCAACACATGATTGCGCATTGTTGTGCATTTGCATCTTGCCTGCCTCACACCTTCCATTTGTTGGGCGGTCATAAGACCGACAGGGCTCACTGGCAATACATCTTCTTCTAGATCTTTTTCTAAATTAAATGATAATGCAACAAATGAGACTAAAAAGTCCCCGGCCTGCACTTGAGACAATTGACTTCTGTTAATTAAGCATGGGAATAAAATTAAAATCTTCAAAAGTAGTTACTGTAACGTTTTAAGAGAGTTTTTGTTTAAGAAATTAAATATTTTAATGACAGTGGAACTTTAATAAAATGTACCTGATACTCTTAGTACCCAATGGCCATCCAAGTAAATTAGGATCATTGGATCACTTGGATCCCAGAGACCATATGCTGTAACCAATAGAAAACATAAATTTAGCTGATAAAGATATTACACTCTGTCCCTCATTGATGAAGTATAAACCAATACCTTTTGACAAAGGAATGGGGCGAGCTTGAGGCAAATTGTCATTTGGAAGCATTATTGGTGCATTTGCATGCCGTTTTGGGCTGCCTATGGAGTCATGCATTAATCTAGCTAAACACCAAAAACCTGGACATATCGGCCTGCAGCATCTAGCCAATTTACCTTTGTTGATAAAGCTTCTTTTCTTCATCTAAATGGAATGATAATGCAACAAATAAAACCGCTGGAGCGTGGGCCGGTAGCTTGAGTGGGGGTAGGTTTCACAGAAATATATCTGCACTCCTATCGGGCAGTGTATGCATGGTTAGTTTGAAATATTATAATTCTAAATTTATATTTAGAGTTACTGTAGCACTTTAACGATATCAAATGATTGGCTGCTTAATTCTTTGGTTGAGCTGATATGGTCCTTTGTGTTACAATTAACATAAAATTATAATGCAGTAAAATTAAATATTGTGTATGCTTAAACACAATTAAGTATTAAGAGTCACTTGTTTAGCGTTATAATGGCCTTTCGTATATATTTACCGGGTTCCTCTTCTTGCAGCTCGATTCCTCCCAAATAATCTCGTACAATTTTGCTCCACAGCATGCTGTATTTGCGTCTTTAACACAGGTGTACCTAAACGACACAAAGTATATTACCGCCACCGCCATCATTACCACCACCATCATTACCACCACCATCATTAGCATCTCCTCGACGACCATCACCAACATTATCACCACCAATACGATTCCCACCACGACCAAAAACATCCTCAATATTACGATCGAGGCCATAATGATCAACAACACGACGAAGATGACGAACACGACGAACAGGACCTCCAGCACGACCACCACCACCACCACCATGACGAGCATCACCACCACCGCCATCACCACCATAATTTCCACCATCATCACCACCACCCACTTCACCACCATCATTTCCACCATCATCACTACCATCACCACCCCCATTACCACCCCGATCATTACCACCATCATCACCACCAACATTACCACCATCACGATGAAGCTAAAATAGTTGAAAGATACGAATTAGCACCTAATAAAGAAACTGAATAGTAATATTAAGTGATATGCTTATACTCGTACTCATTTTCGTCATTCCGTGAAAGCTTTAATTGGTTAGGTTTTAATGTCTGGGTTTTATTGAATAACTTCACTGTTATTTAGGTATCCAAGTTCTCAGTACACAAACGAATGAGAACATGCTTTAAATAATGAATTAGTCATCCTTACTCTCCTTCCTTCTTCGTACGATATAATAATGCGTGCAAGCTCCGCTTTGGTCAGCATTCTGTTTCTTTCTCCAACTGCAACATGAATTGTTAATATTAATTAATGAAATTATTGAGAATCCCAGATCAAAATGGTTTTTTTTCCGATCATAGTGGTTTAACTTTTAAACAGGTCCAGGGTTGTAGCCATATATAGGTATATAGGATTTAAGTTTGTTTGCCGATTGAGAAACGTATCGAAAAATAAAAATTTTGAATGTAGTCATAACCTCAAGTGGTATATTATACGCATTGGTTTTGAGCGCGTGTTACGTAACATACAAAAAATCTCCTATTAATGAGTTAGGGTACGTTTCACAGGAATATATCTGGCTCTCATGCATTTGACAGTTTACACATGGTTACTTTAAAAAAAATGTTGTTACCTGCAAGAATTGTGTTGGGTAATATCATGCGCAGCACATGTCTGCGCACTTCATATTCCCGTATTCATATTTAGCGGGTTTGGGCCCGCCACGTACGTGAGGGCTCAGCCCGCTAATTAGGTATGCGTAAGAGACTATACTTTGGCCGATGGTAATTGGCATGCCACATCATTTGGCCAATATTCGGGTCGCCCATTATCGGACGTCAAATTTATGTTCCATATTTGTTCCTGCCAAAAGCATGTTGCATGGCAAGACATTTTCCATGTGTCGCGCGGTCAAAAGACTGCCATGCAGGGCGCACTCGGCATCAGTCAGTCAATAAAGTCTAATTTCTTCCAGTTGCGCATTGTGAGGAGTCGATGCATTTGGGACAATTTACTACCTTTTGTTGATAAAGGTCCTTTTTTTCTTCCAAATAAAATGATAATGCAACAAATAAGACCGCTTTTGGTATGTGTATAGCATTGCGGCCCGTTGTTAAAATGATAATCAATTTTTGGCAGCCAAAGTTGCTTATTCAGCTGTGTTTTAGATAAATGGGAAAATAGTTCATCTTTAAGTGGAGGGGAATCAGTGTTACAGGTACCAAAATTCATATTTAGAGTTACTGTAGCATTTTAACAATATCAAATGATTAGGCTACTTGTTTGGTTGAGCTATAGTATGTTCTTCTGCATGTGTTACGATTAATTAATATAAAATTATACTTTAAAATTAAATATCATGTATGCATATAAACACAAGTATTAACAGTCACTTGTTTAGCGTTATAATGGACTTTCATATATATAATTACCAAGAACAATATCGTTTTCATCTTCTTCCAAAAATGCCTTGACGATCTCAGCGATCGCAGGCTGTATCCTATCCTTTAAACCTGGCGTACCTAAACGACACACAAACAAGTAAAAACACTAAATATATTAGGTATTTATATATATATATTCATGTTTACAGGTACCAAAATTCATATTTAGAGTTACTGTAGCATTTTAACAATATCAAATGATTAGGCTACTTGTTTGGTTGAGCTATAGTATGGTCTTCTGCATGTGTTACGATTAATTAATATAAAATTATACTTTAAAATTAAATATCATGTATGCATATAAACACAAGTATTAACAGTCACTTGTTTAGCGTTATAATGGACTTTCATATATATAATTACCAAGAACAATATCGTTTTCATCTTCTTCCAAAAATGCCTTGA